ATATCGTCGGAAGGGAATAGCCACAAGTTTATTAGATGCTGTGCTACAAAACTTAATATATGGTTTACCACTCTCTCGTACACAAGCAGCTTTTTCCGAACCAACTGCAAATGGCGCAGATTTTGCTGTATCTTACATAGGCCGAGAAGACTTCTTAATATACTGATTTTATATTTTTATAATGAGAACTGAACACTTGCAGTTATTTATTCTAAATTTATAGAGTAAATTATATATTCACTGTATTGTTATTTTAAACGAGGAAAGAGCACATGCCATAGGTAGATCGCACAATTTACGTCGTTCACAGAATCATGATGAACCTGTTACCGTTAAACTAGTTGCACTTGACTTGCTAACTTAGTAGTCTAACTTTGGTTCATTTATTAGATAAACAAAACTTGGGGGACAATTTATTTATATCTTATTAAAGAATCATTTGTCAGGCACAGATTTCGTACTCGGTCCAGTCATGCCTTAGGTATGTAGGTTATAAATATTATACGTCTACCCAAATTAAAGTAGAGTTGAATACAAAACCTACTAGTTGTGAGCAGGATCTGTTAATCACTAAGCCACTGCCCCATATATGTTGAACCTAAAGGTAAACAACTGACATACAAAACAAAACTGTACCAAAAGAACCCTAAACTCACGCAATGGAGAAGTCCTGTGTATTGTTAAGAAAAACTTCAAAAACTGCTTTACCATACTAACGCGTAGTCAGCGATAATTTAACGGATATTTATCAACAATAATGTGGTGAGAACAATGTCTTTTTTGTTATGGAGAGGAAAAAATCACATTATTGGAGTAAGAGTGCTAATAGAAGTGAGCTACTTTAGATAATTGAATATCACAATGGTGGTTAGTAGTGCTCAACTCGAGCACTAAGTTGTAGGTTCGAAACCCCGATTTTCGTTGGGAGTTAGATAGTATTACTAAAATCTGAACAAAGATTCGAGTGCTTGACTCAGTCTAAACACAGGGTAATTACCTGATGTTCTAATTGGAGGGTCGTGAGGAGATGAATTCAGTGTAGGTTACTGATTTCACCAGATACAGTATCGCGACGTAGGCAAGATCACATCACACTTAATAGTGAGTTGGAAAATTACACAACTTTTAGCTTAAAAAGTGGTCAGTTCGTGATGTGCATACTATCAAGAATGTCTGTCGGTTTAAAATCTTAACTAGCTTTTAAATGCTCTACGAAGAAAGCCTTAAATCATATTGAATAATATTTAGTCTTTCATAAGGTAAAATCCTAAAGTCATTTATAGCCTACCAATGATTAGGGATTTTGAACATATTTCTAATATATTCCAGAGTAGTAAAATTGCTCTAGTCGACTCTAAATTCTTCATTACTCATATGTAATTGGCGAATAGTAAAACCTAAAGCAATCCTTGGTAGTTCTATGAACTTGCTTGCCTCTACAGTCAGTCAGCTACAACGTAAGGCCAGGCAAAAATATGCATCGGTCCAAGTTGCCATACCTCATTAGCACATCAAGATGAACACTGGATTCATAGAAGTAGTAAATTCAATGGTGGTAATATATAAAAGAAATATTGCATATAAGGATATAGTACAGGAAGAAAGATTTAGTTGGTAGAAAGAAAGATATCAAGCAATTTTAATCTCAGTTTAAGAGAGGACAAAGAGTGTATACACTTACGCCATTGTGATCCATTCTCAGCCATGTCTACAAGAGTCTCCAACCATTGGTTACGATAGTCACACGGACCCCAACCAAGTAGTCTGCATCTACAGACATGACTAAGACTAGAAGTTAGTGACTTCAAGCACTGATGCCATGTTTTGGTTTGAAGATTCACAACCTCATCAACTGACTTACCATCACTTGCTAATACCCTTGCGTCTAACCTCACTATTACTTAGCTGGTGATCACACCATATGCGAGCATCTGTGGTCAAAACAGAATGAATTCATGCGCAGTATACTCGTCCCTTAATTGATAGACGGCTATCTCGCCTTCGCCATAAGTGACGTATGTTGGCAAACGCCGAAGGAGATTTTCGAATCCGTGCTGAGATTTCGTCAGACACGAACCCATTATGGCTGATCAGACTTCCAAGATAAGTGAAGTTGTCAACGCGTTCGACTATTTCACTCCCTATTCTTAGTTTAAGTGTTGACGCATTCCAAATATTCTGGCATTGTTGCTCAGTGCTACCAAAAGACTGCATTTTATCAGCGTCTTCACCAAACAGGACTATATTGTCTGCGTATTCTAATTCGATAAGTGAACCTCCTGGTATATCAATACCTGAGAATTCAGTCGACGAAAATGTTATTTCTATCAGTATGTCTATGATGAAGTTGAACAAAAATGGAGAAAGTAGATAGCCTTGACGGATACCACTTGAGGTTGCAAAATCAGATGACAGTTGACCATAAGCTCTGACTCAACTAGTGTTGTTCAAGTAAAAATCCTTCACAAGGTTTGTGTACTTCTGAGGTATGCCTTTTAATGACAGACACTGCCACAGAATCTCGCGGTCTACAGAGTCAAATGCTGCTTTTAAATCGTCGTCTACAAATGTAGATGAAAAAGAGGACGACAATACTTCTAGTGCAATTTCCATTTATCAATATTCGTGTGATGCATGACAATTAAGAAGTTTTAGAGCCGACCTTTATGCTCAAACAGCTGGACGTGGTTTTGGAACTGCTTCGGTAACCAGAATCGCCCGAGCAGCATTCCAGTCCTCAGAAAAATCAAATAGTTTGTGTGGAGTATATATATTTGGTAATTTTTTTTACCAATGTTTATGCGTTTAAATAAATAAACTAGAAGCCAATCAACTGTTTTGAACTTTTTCTCTCCAATTAAATGTAACTGAACTATTTTCCTTACCGAAGGACGAATCTGATTAGTCTCCATTGGTGCATATCAAACTGGATTTTATACTGAACGAATTTTTTATTGGGAAAATCAAATGTGAACAAATTCGCAACTTATGTTACCTCTAATTACGTTCATCAGTTTACATGAACGTACTAAAGTGTATCTATGGGAAGAACAGAATGGAGGGTCAGTGTCTGTATATTCAAGAATATCCCACAAAATTGACGGCTAAACGGACAAATTCCCAAGAGTGAAAGTAATGTTAATAATTCAAGACCCTTCAAAATAATCAATAAACAAAGAACTTCCAGCGTATTACTCTTTAATCGATATATAATTGCCTTTTTGACAATAAAAAAACATAATTATTATTGCATTTCTCCCCTTACTTATGTCTCAGATTCTCATGATTTTATTCATAATTGCTCATGATATCACTTCATTTATTTTTGCACATCTATTACCTCTAATTATTGTGACAAATTTTTTTTACCTCATTCAGATCATAATTATTTACCAACTTATTAAGTCCATTGTTATTATTCATATTGCATAATCTAGTGTTATAACCTTTCGACGGTATTATCACGGTCATTCCTTGTTCATATATCCTCACGAAACTAGTATTTCAACATAAAAATACTTAAAGAGAACAAGAACGAAGATAATATGAATTCATTTTATTTCGTCAGGTTCTCATCAGCTGCTTACAACCTATAATATTTAAAATCAACGTTAATACATACACTAACATACTTATACATACAAGGGTGATTAGAGATGAATATGTGTATCATGATGTAGCGAATATTCTGATAAAGTTAATAAGGTCATAGACAATTAGTCTTTTAATATGATGGGGATCTTTAAACGAATAAAATATTTTATTTCAGATAAATAAAGTTTGAGAGGGAAAGTTCCAGAACATTGAAATACTAACTATAATTCATTGAGTTAACAAACATTATAATGAAGCAACTAATATTAGATTAATGGTAATAAAGAAAGATATGAATTGAAATCAGTCACTTATGAATGGAAGAAAAATGACAGTGCTGTAAATCAAACTTCAGAAAGGGTTGAAATTATATGTATATATAGGATTGTATAGCTTGAAGATAAATTCGTTGGAAAGAGATCTCTTCCCTAAACTTCGTGTTTTAGCAATAAAACGATTTAAACTGAATTTATGCGTCCAAAAAAAACAGTCATCATTGTTTTCCTTTGCTGTCATCGTTTTTATGAGATTGTTACGTAGGATTCTTTCCCGTGACCTTAATTACAATTCCTAATATTCTCTGTCTTACTTTTAAGCCTTAGCTAATTTATACTTTTTAAATACTACATAAGCAATAGCATAAATCATGAATTTCTATAAAAAATTCTGTTTTCATGCTCTTCTCGAATATTATACATTGAAACTGCAAATAGACAAACGTTTGATTAAATTTTAGTTCTTCCACAATTATTGTATTACATGTTAAATAATTTTATTTAGGCATTTTCCAATATAAAGTTTGTGTACTTGTTTCGTTTTTAATGAGTAGTAATATTATTCTCGGGTTGTAAGCAGCTACGAACCCATGAAATGATTGGATTCATGTTATTCTGTCACGATTTTGTTGTTTATACAAACAATCTAGTGAATTTACTTCACACATCATGTTTCTTATTTCTAAACTTCCTAGAGCATCCTTCATATTTCCTAATAAAACCACCTTGAATATTCTACAACTATCATCGAAAATCCTTGTGAAACTTCGATTTTTAACTTCTTCTACATTGCAAATAACTTATTTGTTGTTGATTGACAACTCTCTTTCTAATTCAACATAATGTTAATAGTTAGAAATACCTAAACTTATAAGCTGAACAACAGACGAGGTACAATGAATTCATCGTATTTTGTAAGTACTGTTGTTTTTATTTTGTTTAAATTCTTACTAAGTAGCTTTTGCAAACTTTCTATTAGTTGCTTTGTCAGCTACGACCACTTTAAAAGTTATACGGGATTGACCTGCGCAACTATAAACAGTCTTTTTAGGCAAATAATGAACGATGATCAATAGTAGTTACTCGGTTGTGGGTATAATTCGCAATAGTAACAGCAGCTATGCGTCAAACGACTGACGAGCAACACAAAAAATGAAATAGATTCACAACAAAAGTATTCAAATCAAATGTTCATTTTGTGGTGTTTTCATAAACAATTGACTGGTGAGCAGTAGTCACCCGTAAATGTTTATAAAAGGAAAAAATTGATGTATAAACTTGTTCATTTTATTATGAGTCTTTTTTTATTATACACACACATCATAAACTACATAACTTACAGAAAGAAAAATATACTGAGAGATAAAAAGTATTTACATCTTTACATAAGCGTTGGTATTTACTTTATCTTTTCGTTTTTGAGCTGTGACATAGCAAAGGCTAATTTATGTTTCTATACAAAAAATAGGAAAGAATATCAACAAAATAAAATATACTAAGTATAAAACAAAACTACTTGCGGTACATTATTCAAATACGTAACAGAAAACTTAGTATTACTGAGTAATTTGAGTAAGTAGAAAGGTAACAAAAAATGTGACTATTATTGAGATCAAGAAACGATCTAAGCTAGACAACTGTTGGAAACCTAAAATCATGAGCTCACTAAAGACTACGTTTAAAATGGAATTCGCGGAGTTCTAGAGAGAAATTGTGACCAGTGGAGTTCAACCGCGCTTCATTGCTTTCTCATTGATCTTGGTGAAATGACTACATTTTTGATTAAATCTAATATAACTCATTAACCAATTACAAGTTCATGAACTTTTACTACGGTAATTCCATTTATGTGGGGGTTATTAAGATTACCAGTGATTCTAGAGTGACGTAAGTGGAACAGGGTAAATCCCATAACCCATTGATTTTAAGTTGTGTGACTCAACTACTAACCCTTTTATGTTGGTGGGTTAGTGCTGACGACTACTCATAATGAGTATAAAACTCACTCAGTTTTTGATAACCTTCACAATTGCTGGCGAACGTGAGATGTTTATTCTTCTAATATGGGTATGATAACCAATAGCCTATTTTTATTCCTTTTCGGTTGTGAAATATGGCATTTAAAAATAAAAGTTGTTGGATTGACCTATTTTAAACCAAATCAGTTAGATTTCGTCTTGCTCTGAAAGATATATTTTACATCCATCAAGTAAGAAAGGACAGACGGCTGAACGCTGTACTTACTCTTCGACATACGGAAAAGCTTTATCTGTACCATGGGCGAGATTTCCTGACAACTGTACGCCTAAGAGCAGATGCGGCGGGACCTTTCTTGTTTCCAGATTAAGTGGTATTTTTTCAAGAAAATCATAAGAAACTAAAAACTCATCGATGCTTTTAGTCTCAAATGTCAGCTAATAATAAGCAACAAAAACTTAGTCTCAATATGAATCGGTCTAAATTGCTACACTTCAATTCATCATGGAGAAAATTATTGAAAAAATATAAATGAGAGTGGGCTCTACAGAGAGCTGTTAAGCTCTTTACTGAAAATTAAACACACAAACGTTAAAACCTAAGCAAGTGATATCAATGTACAAGGGAATTCAAAGATAAACAGGAGGTTTAGTTGATAACCATGTGTGTTTACATCTGGTTCTGTTTAGAACTTCAACTATAAGGGCTGACAAAAACACTATTCTAACCCACGAAAATAATAAAAGGAAAGGTTAGGTTGGACGAGATACGTAGACCGAATTCCCAAGAAATTAATCCAGTTTAGTCACACTTAACCAACCGAAAGTTTGCATTTGTACTGATTGAAAGATGGAACAATATTAAGAGGTTATTAGGTTTTCGCAGGGATTTGTAAAGTACTTAACACTAGTATCTTTGAAATTTGAAGGTTTTTCTTGTGGCTTAGATTCCGTAAAGCCGAATCATACAAAACTGACTATAAGATAGAAATCGCTTTAAAGTACTGATCAATAAGACTGGCTGGAATGGATCAATCAGATGAGTGCGACATGTATACCATCAAGTTACAATATTTCGAGCAACATCTTAGTTTTTTTCAACCAAAAGAACCTATATACATAATAATGATAAATACCAAGTCAGTCAGTCAGCTACAACGTAGGACCAGGCACATATATGCATCGGTCCAAGTTGCCATACCTCATTAACACAACAAGATGGACACCGGATTCATAAAAGTAGTTAATTCAGAGGTGGTAATATATAAAAGAAAGATTGCAATAAGGATATAGTACAGGAAGAAAGAATTAGTTCATAGAAAGAAAGATATGATACCAAAGCTCAGAAAACTTCGAACACATCTTCATTCACACATCTATTGTCTATAAGTATCATTTCAAAAAGTTTACACTTTCAAATCTTACAAAGCTTTATTTTAACCTACCTTTACAGCTGCTAAAATTAATTCAACATCTGAACGAATATCTTTGTCAGGTATTTGATATATAAGTCTTGGAGTAGATGGGGATAGTGTAACTGGTTTCTTTCGAGGTTCAAGATTTGGACTAGGAAGATAATTATCATATTGATCAAAAGACTTGGTATATTCTTTTTCTGAATCTAAATTACACATGAATAGAAATATCTTACTTTAAAATAAAGTACATCATTAGAGTACAGATGGATTATTAGAGCTGAGAACTTGTGTCGCAAGATAATCTTACAATATTAATACCGTGCAAGAAATGCTTTAAAATTGCAAGGCATAACCTCACCACTAATCTAACTCACAAAAAATCGAATCTAAATTGTGCCAATAAAAATGTGTATATTCTATATATATGACAAAACGAACATTACAAGGTAGGCAATATCATGGTGTCAAGTCTTTGATCCAGCAGATGGTCTTAATCCATTAATATATATATATATATATATATATATATATATATATATATATATATATATATATATATATATATATATATATATATTATAACAGTCTACTCGACAATTTTTCCCCAATTTTATTACTGAGTAAATATTTTACTGACGGTATTGATAGTACTCATTTTTCTCTAGTTTAAACGCTTAGTTGTGTAACTGTGATGTTTTATGGCTTCAGCTAACAGAAAAATATCAAGTTAAAGCTTTGTAGTCCCTTAATATATTGACAATTTGCGGTAATCCACACGATTCGACGTGTTTTGTGCTATATTGTAGTTCACAAGGTCCGCCACATCCCTTTCATTGGCAAATGTTGATTAAATAACCCACGACTTGCATTAATCAAACCCTCAAATAATTTCTGGTCAAGGATGACATTTCATAGTTTTTTTTTTCATTTCTTCGACACTTTGTTTGTATGGTTAGCATTGGATTTATCTAGTGTAGGATCTAAAAGTGAAGATTCCAATTTCGCTGCATCACGATATACATATTCATCTCTAATCACCCTCATATTTATAAGCATGTCAATATCTGTAATAACGCTTATTTTAAATACTATAGGTTGTAAGCAGCTGATGAGAACCTGACGAAATAAAACGAATTCATATTATTCTGCAATAATCTTTGTTCTTACTCTCTTGAAGATACATATGATTTTGCTTCCGACTAAACTTCGAGGTGATTGGAACCTAAATGAAAGTTACTGTCGTCAGATTTACCAGTCCCTTCCTATATTTATATCAGCCAATTACAACAATCGAACTTTAATAATTGGTGTCTTTTAAGAAATAAAAAATCAACTATAGTTCATTGGTCAACAAAACGTTACATAATAAAATTAAATCGCAATTTTAATGCATTAAAAATTAAAGGATTACATAGACAACACCTTGAAGCTGAGTTGTCACATCCATTGTAATCCAGTAACGAATGATAATTATTAATGCCACTTTTCGGAAATGTTATGATGATTTTGAAATTGGTTTGACATAGTTTGAATAGAAAAGTGTCTTAGTTATGATGTCTTTTAAGACAGTTTAAGACAAATAGATAGATATTAAAAAGACATTATCACTTTACTTCTACTACTCTGGGTTTTGTCCTGATAACTTGATCTTACTTTGCTAAGGGGGTATGGTCGTTTTAACTGACCCACATATGCCCTAAATCCAACGTAACAAGTGACTGACTGATCAACTCTTTACTAACTTCTAGGAAATAATTTAAGCAAAGTAGTAACTTAAATGTAAACATAATTATTTGCAGAGTCCAAGGTAGAACACAATTTTTTCGGTTTTGTTACTAGCCGTTACAAAATAATATAAACATATTCTGTATCTACAGTCCAATGACATCGACGGTAATTGGCTCAATATGGATCAGGGCATTATGAAATTCTTACCATACTAAATAATGGCAGGATAAAAAGTACTATGAAAACAAACAAATAAATAATAACTTATTCGAAATCCAGTTTATTATTATTTTGATAGTGAAGTAAATCGCTACCGGCAGATGCTGTCACTTGTATTACAAATATATCCACAAACTGGCGAGAGATTGTAAACGGTGAAAAGTTATGATAATTTGGACGGGGTTTAAGAAGAAAACTAAATGGGGTGAAGTGTGAAGTTCATTTAATACAGTTTAAGTACTTTTCGACAAATCGCTAGATAATATTGTTTTCAAAATATATACACCATAGAGTAAATTAGATCGATACCCTCACCTTTAGAAGCTTTTCTTTGGTGAGCAGCTCGTTCATATTGAAGTTTACATAAACTCTCTTGAAGACTTAATCGAATTTGTTCTTCTGCTGCTAATAATCGCTCATTAACGTCACACTGAATGATTTGTAACTCGTTATCCAACTCTTTGTTAGTTATTTCCAAAGCGAATTGCATTCTATGTTTTGCCACCTTAAAAAGATTGTTTTAGGGAATACTGTCAAAACATAATAAGACACCTTTAAAACGTAAAATGTTCTTTCTATCCATAAACTGTGAAATACTTGAAAAAGTATTTGAAAATCTGACTGAACATAGATGATGTGATTCAGTCTTATTCCACGGGTATACACATACAACAATTGTAAAATATGCAAGGACATATATAGTAGTTACAATAGTTACCCTTCTGTATGATCAAATTAAATGTACAACTACATTTGTTGACCTATTTTATTTCGAAAATACATCTAGTACGATACAAAAATTTGGTGACGTAAAGTATTCTCTGACTAGTTTTAACGAATACCTACAATACTACTTTAGTTAGTTCTCAATCCCAAATTAACACAACCTACAAGCAATGAAATCCCAACCATGACACTTTCGAAACAGTGTGATTTTGGACAGACGATAGTTTTCTACTTGAGAAACGACAGGGATAATTTACGCCGCTAGCGTAATATAGATTGAATTAAAGCACGTTCCGTGTAGGATTATACTGGGGCGCACTGACTGGCTATTACTTATCTAATCAGCGCTAGTGGATACTTGGAGAAGACTCTACAATTTTCTCATGTAAAAACTATAAGTGTACTAAGGTTTTCCTTATTGAAATTCCTAATTCCATCTACCCTTGTTATTTGAAATATAATTTCATTCCTGTTCAACCGTGTTCTGATTTGGAGGTTTGTCGAGTGAAGTAGTATTTAAGAATACTAAGCAATAAGAGAAGCTGGGTCATAATAAGAGAAATTATAACATTAAAACACATTCAAGATACCGATATCAGATGACCAGCTCATATGAATATTCCAACAACAGCAAGCACAACTTGGTGCACAAATGAGATTATTGGAGACTCTGACGCAGCAGATCAACATCCACTGCGCGAGTTCACACGCTATTTCAAGTAGTTCTTGTGATGTAGTCCAACAATGACCCCGAAAGTGGAAATACTTTTCTCATGTGGGTCGAGCGTTGGAAAGATACACTTACTAAACATATATGGCAAATTTTCATTGCAACCACCTCTATTTATGTACAGATTATGAAGAATGTAATGCAAAAGAATCAAATAATAACATAAGGTTTTGGAATACGCATAAAACTGCTTATTACAAAAGTCATCAAACTATGTCTTAGTGATGATAACGACTTTTGTGTACTTTAATCTATCAGTTGCATATAATGCAAAAATATATCACGTCTGAAAAATGTGGTGAGATTAGATAAGTGAGAAAATAATCAATTTATTTGAGAATGGAAATTGGCAGTTAGACCACACAAACACGAAACCAAAACATCTGTTGATCTCTTTTGTCGGTGCAATATGATAGTTTTTGTAGGAGGCGATAAGATTAGCGGAGGTCGATAAACTTAGTTATAGTATTAAAATATACTATTGTAAGATGGATTATCAGTGGACAATCAAATTTTTGAATTCATTAAGCAGGGTCATAAAACATAATAATAATTATTGCCAGAATCGAAGATAAAGCTCTTCACTATTTTGACCAATTAGTCTTTATTTGTGATGATTGTTATCATACCTTGATATGATTAGTAAAGTGAAGATAACAAACCTGTAATCGAATTTTATACGTCTCTTCAACCAAGGATAAAACATGAAGAAATTCAGGCGCAGTACCCATTTTCGCTTGATTTAATTTATTCTCTACTTGCATTATACGTTCATTGTATAGTGACTCTTTTGCTTGCTTGAATTCCCACTCCAACTCTGAAATCTCAGATTGCAGTTCCTTTTTCAAACACTCGATCTCTGTATCTGTGATATCTTCAGATATGTTTTCACTACGACAATCCGGTTCCTGGTAATCTTCTTCATTTAAACGATCTTCATCTATCTGGCCATCATTAGCTTTAGAATCCTTCAACCCTTCATCAGCCATCACAAGGTAAAAATACCTTGAAAATGTTTATTGACGACTGTTAATTGATAGTTGTGTAGAACACAAAATAACAGCTAAAATGGAAACAGCTGTTTTCACAGCTGATGTTACCGTTCCAATAAACAATAATCCATTGAGGGGAAATTCTTTTGACTGTTAATACAAAATTCGACAGATAACATCAATCAACTTTAATCTAAAAACAGTTCTCGTGAATTTACACACTAAGATTGTAGCAAATATATCAAAACACTAGTGATAAAGTAGGCTACAACAAACAGTAATAGTAGATCCTACGTAAAATAGCTCAGAATATTATGTTACTTTAACTTACTCTCTATTCTTGACCTATATTCTTATCGCTCACTCATTATTATTGACTTTTTATCTACCTACTTTTGAAGAATGTGACAACTTGATCTGATGCAATTTAAGTCTGAAAAATTGGTCGTTATTTTAAATTTTGTTAAGTGACTGTCAGCACGTAACATACCTATCTAAATTAAAACAAAGGTTGGTCAGGATAGTGAATTTGTCTATGGTGCTGAAGCAAAAAATGGGAATCAAATATAGTTACTTTCTGAATGGAGTGAATATCAGATGACATACAGAAATCATAGAGTGAATCATAGAACACACAACTCCTAGCAAGCAAGTAATCTAAATAATTTTGGTGTAAACACGCATGCACTGAAGCTAAATGGAAAATGATACCCATTTCAGTTCGTATAGTTTCCAAGACCCTTGATGATAACTACTGTAATAACATTCCGGCCGAGCTTGTGTATGATAATAAGTGAATTCGGAGACGCAACACTTCCATTTTGAAAAGACAACTCTAAAAGGTGAATATTAAAGAATTTAAGTTTCACAATATTTTGGGACTGTTAGACTTTTGAAGAACGGATCTAACTCTCCAAAATTCGACACGTCTCTTAGTTTGTGCGGTTGCACCGGGTTAACATTTTTTACGTGCTTTGAGATATTAACTTATAAGTTAAAAGCAACCAGTATGTATCACTTTTCAGAATAAAGATTCTCATGAACAGTAGTTCCATCCATTTACATACATTTCTGTCTTCATTATATTTTCCAAAAACGAAAATCGTACTAAAAGTTATTACCCTAAAGCCCTCATTAATTATTCGATTACACAAATCCTTATTGCTAGCCTCGTAAAAGTATACTTTCAATTGAGTATCAGGGTTCTAAACACTCGAAAGTTAAGCCAAACCAGATTGAATGTATTGTTTAGAACCTTAGTGTACTCAGCAACAAATATATGTTATGTTTACGGAATAAAGGGATTACTTAACCTACCTGGCTAATAAGATGGATCGGTATGATCCATTCTGTGGTCGCTAGTAACAGTTGACCTGGTATATAGAAGTAATATTAAATCATTGAGTGATCTTTACAAATGAATATTAAGAACCAACAGTCTAGAGCGGCTTTGTATCAGATGGTTGGAGGTAGTACTCAGGAAGCCTTGCACCTAAGTTCCGAGCAATGTGGAAGTTATAAACATGAGGCACCTGCAATCTTGAAACAATTGAGATTCAGATACTCGAATCCCTCAGAACTCTAGATCGTTAATATTTCAAGTGTTTACAAATATTTAATTTGCACTTATTTAGAATTGTTTCATCGAACTTTGTATATGATTTTGGAAGACATTTCGATATGGTCTAAGTTACCCCAGTTAGAGGGGAGGTAGAAAAAGGATATGTATAAAGCACGAATATGATAACACTGACGATACAGAAGCTTAACTAGACAATTGTTGCCCAAAGGAAATATGTGAACAGTTTTATAATGCCATTATTATTTTCTTACGATGTTACAACGTAGGACCAGGAATAAATACACATCGGTTCTCTCGATAGGTTGTCACTTGGAATCTGTCACCGCATACTCGTATTAAATAATCGGGATTCATTTTTAGCTATCGTATATCAAGTGTAGCTTAACATCTAACGCCTATTTATTTATTTAAACACATAATCATTGTTGCAAGAAGGCACCAAATAGACATACACCACATAAATCGTTCGATTAGTGTGAAGGCTGGGTTACTGCTCGGGTGTCCAGGCCGAAGTAGGTGATTTTCTTAGCGGGACACGCTGGAGACTTCAATTTAAAGTTCTAATCCAAAGGCAGTGAAGCAACGTCATGAGATGCGGTCCCATGGTAGCCGGTGACCAATGATTGGTTCATAGACCATTTGTTCCTTCAGAATACTGGAGCCCATGAGCACCATTGGTTTGGAATCAGAATGATCAATGTGAGTAACAGGTGTAGGTATACTTACATGTGAGCGGTCACAATTTTACAACTCAAAATAACACGAAAATTCGTAGGACGGGTTAAAAATAACTGACAAATACAAAATGTGTATAATATGTTAAGATTTCTAGTATAAATCCCATTAAATTTTGATGAGACGATCACAGGATCACCTAGCATGTTAGTAGACTATATTTAGCTTTAAGGGCGACCAAAAACGTACTGTTATGGTTCTCTAATGCTGAAAATTATTGGGCATCAAACAACCTACTTACTAGAAAATATGTGCACATCACCTACCTGAACATCAAAGTGTGTAGAAAAGCTTTAAATATGCGGTTCATGACATGCAATATCCAATATATTTTACATGAGCAGATATTGACCATGTGTTTACTATAGCCTTCAGTTTTTATGTCGAGGAACTTTTTTAGACCTAATAAATTATTAAATGGGCTTTTCTTAGCCATATCATTGTTTCAGTTTTAATGAGCTATGACATGTATATCAAACGATTCTTGTAACGATAAATGTAAAGAAAAAAATTTGTTTTTTTATTTGTGACTCATTGTGTGTAAGTATATTTATGTCCATCAACTATTGTTTGTCTGTATGGGACCAAAAACCTTCGTTTTTCTGCGAAACTATAATGTATAGTTAACACAAACATTTCAACGTTTCTTTTCCTGTTGCTGGTGATTTCTTGGCATATTCGGCATGTGTTTATTCGGACCTGGAGGAGCGATTCAGTGTGACGACTCAGTGGAGTTGCATGACTTAAACCTGATAAATGTGCTGCCATTCAGTAGACTGAACCCACGTATTCGGTTTGCACATGTGGTAACGTACGTTCACAGGGTTTGAAATACTCTTTTGTACTTGGAATCCTGTCGATCGAAGTGGCACATGGGGTATCAGAGCTTATAGACAGTGTTCCTGCGTCAGAAGCGTATGGTCAGTTAAAACGTGCTATTATTCAACGTACCTCACTATCGGATAAAAGTTACAGAAATTACTACATGAGTGCGAATTAAGTAACGAACATGGTTTCAATGATTACGCCAGATGAAGCACTTGGTTCAAACTTATAAAATTGATGATGCTTTTGAAAAATAAATTTGGCTACAACACTTACCAACCCGCAGAGGAAACTTTGTTCATCAGGTGAACATATTTGTGGTTATTATGTCAGAAAAAGCTTACGAATAACGTTCATTCCGTAACAACGGTTATCATTTTTTTTTGTTAATTAATACCCCATTTCGTTAAAAATGCTATCCGTCACTGCGGTTTATGCTATCAATATATTTCTGTCATGTTCTTGGAAACTCTAAATAAGTTCGTTACTAAGATCCGCCACATTAAAAACTAGCTGGTGAATCTTATTTTTCAAGAAAAATGGAATTTAATTAAATTCCATGTCGATGAGAACTGTAAGTCGTAGCCGCAAAGGGAAAGATTTATTTTTCATATTTAAAGGTTACAGTGAAAAAATCCGCCGATTCACTTACGGGGTCTTTTATGATAATGAGCATCCTCTTTCGGTGTTAAGTATAAATTCCATATTTAGCATTGTCGAGCGATGTTATGTCCATTTAATGTGTCAGTTCTTCATATATGAGTGTAACTTTAACCGACGTATTATTGTTTCAAGATACACCGATTTTTCTCTAGTGGAAATTTCCTTATAATGCGTTCGAGCTTGCTGGATGAAGATGCAAAGAAAGATAAACGTTGCAGTTTAAGATCAGATCCTGAGTGAGGGCCATCTCCTCATATAACATTCACTCACTGAATTGGACACATTTTACACTGAATCGCGGATGCGTTACGAATTCCTAGACACTTATTCCATCTCCTATTGTAATGATGAGATTTAACCTGATCATTGTCTACCATTTGCTTTTGAATTTGCGTTCCTTCTGGTGATACTCACATAAATTGTAACGACAGCTTGTTGTCACAGTTTATTGATATCGTGTTAATAGAGATCATTGAATCGCAGCGTGCACAGAATAACTTGGCTTATGTCCTTCCAGAATTGCATAAATAGGGGTAGATAAACTGTACTACAGCTTTTCAAAGTTTTTTAATCCTCTAATTGATCCGAAATCCTTAATAGCAAATGAGTGACAATGAGGAGCAATATCCTTATACTTATTACTGAGTGCACAACTTTATGAGTGACGACTGATAGAAGCTTTATTCCTCTAGCCCAGTATTAGCCCCATTTACCCAGCGAAGAATCCAAGTTGTGTGTGAATGGTTGGATATACATTACATTCTCCTGTAGCACATTCAGACTCCTGTTCTTTAAATTATAGTCTCCTATGTTACACCAAGTTTTACATTTGTTATTGCTAATCGTAGTAGATTGATTTTGCCATTATATACGAATATTTGTATGCTTACTAAGTAGCCGACTCACTTATGTTGTCTCATTCTCTGAATGATCTTCTAACGTACTCAGCTCTTTGCTCTCTAAGCATAGCGCACTCTTAAATTGATCGCAAACCAGCTGACAAGTGAACAGCATGAATCATTTTTATGAGCCCTTATGGATCCTGATTCGTTCTGTATCCTGTCCTGATGAATTTATAACTTCGTTTCAGCTTCTTGTGTTCCACATGACGTAGGTGTTCTTATTAATACAGCACTTATGCTCGTTGTTCTATTTCATTCGAAAGTGATTAAATTCTTGTTTACTATCGATCGCGGTTAAATGTTACCGAGTTGATTGTGTTGAGAGCTTTAGAAGTGTTTATCATAAAAAGCTATTTCATTCTATCTTATTGGGTGCCATACTATCATTGTGCTTATCGCTGGCACAAGAACCAAACAAATTTTCCTCTAACTGTGACATTGTCTTTGTTAACTTTTAAATTTTATCTGTTTGTGAAGTCGCTTTAGGTGTCGCAAACTATATTTAATCCAAGTATATCACTTTAAAATAATAATTATTGTCCGAAAGGTATTTTTTACTCAAACTTGCTCAGTGGTGATTATTAAGCAATCCCTGAAATGCTGTTTGTTTCATTTTAATTTTTTATAAAAGTTACAGATGAGAAGGTAAGGTAGGTTAGTCATCAAGGTGTCGTGTGAAAAGTTAATTACTAATTATTCATGTCTACGAAAGAATATCAGTAATTTCGAATAAATATTCGGATGTTTGGAGTAGCCGTCTATCTTGGTTTGTTAGTAGGAATAAACATGGTTTTATCCTAGCAGTCAGTGGTCATACAACTATATCCCCCAGGAAAGCATCTACACATGTTTTAATTTGGACTGCCGAATACAGTAAAAATGGAAGTTTAACACGTAGTGTGTACGTAAATAAGAAGAGTTACATCCTTTGTTTGCGCTGTCTATCTTGGAAACAGTCTCAGATAATTTAATCAAAGTACAAATTTACTTCAAGATTAGTGCTTCTGGTATTCGGTTATTGTTACTTCAAAGTTTTATTCTGGTCTGTTCTTGGAGCACGGTTGACTAATACGCTTCTAACTTACGACCCAAATAACAAGGAAACCGAATTCCGATTCCAATACAAGAACTTTATACTTAAATTGCGAAAAATCAACCTAAATATATTATTCTCGTGATAATTATAACAGATCTCACAGTGAGCTTTCAGTCTCTAGGTTTTCACAGAAAGAGTTCGGAACTACCAAACCAAAACAGTGTGAAACTGTTCATGGTTCAGGTAAATGATGAACAAACAAATAAAAAGCAAAACAAATGCGCCACAATCTCAACGAAATACTTATACAACAACTGGAAACCACTTGAGTACATTGGAATACTCCTGTTATAATCACTCTCTTATACCCTACGACAAAATGTTTTGCCATCAGTATCTAAAACTGAAGGCCAATTTAAGTCTTCGACTAACCACCACTTACCGTTTCCCCATTGGGTAGTTGAACTTTAATCTGACGGCAGCACAACCGGGCCGAGTTTATGTCCCTAAATTTGCCTTACAGCATTTGGCAATTATATTTTCTGCACACTGTCTAATTATTTGATGGCATATCAACATAGCTGGAGTAGTATGACCACTAACGTATGTTCGTCCACCTTGATTGGGTCGTTCAGGTGAGGAATATATATCACGGTTTTCACCAAGAACACAAAGAGGCCCAAAATTTAAAGTTACTCTATTGTTTATAATTATTTATAAAAGATAGACTTCAGCCATCAACCTACTTTCTGAAACGTATTGTTATTTTGTAAGAGAAGTAGAGGTTCATGATTAATAACAATGAAAGTATGTCGTGTATAATAGATCGTCAGTTTTCTTCTTAGTAACAGAAGGATGAATCCTGGTGTAGTATTCTGAGACTAATCATTGATTACTGATTACTTCAATCCAGATACGAGATTTGGCAACAAGTAAACTTAACTGACTACTGATAATATATGCGATATACACCAACGTCACTTATTGCTTATTCTTGAAACAATGTCCCACTACAGTTCTCATGACGTGAATTAAAAACAATGAGAGCGATACAAATCGAGATCTATTCGCCACCAAAACACATTGACGGAAAATTTATCATAATAAGTTCAATGGGGTTTCTTGCTTTGGACACTTGGGATGCGATGTTCTGGGAAAGGTTAAAACTATTTCTAAATTTTAAAATCAAGTCATGGACAGTGTTGAGGGGTTTTAGGACGTATCTGCGTAGAACCAGACTTAGGTAAGAATTGTGATCATTGTAAACAAATCCACGTTTATCGACATCCATTAACAGATTCTAAGAAATATTTCGTTTGCACAACTTGTTTATGTCTTCTTAGATTACCGCTGAAATAAAGCTTTCTTTGGTAAGAGGCGAGAATGAATAAACCACTTCTAGATCATCAGCAAACGGGAAAGGTTCTCGGTGTTGAAAGAATGAGAACACGTCAAAGATGAGATGGAGAAAGAGTAATGGACCATCCACACTTTCTTGTATAACCTCATTGGTTATATTCTGAGGCATAGAGAAGCATGATCTAAAGCGAATGATTTGACCAGGATGAAAAACAATTTCATGTGCCAAATGAGAAAAGGTCAAGAAGGCTGTGTGAGACAATGTCGAGGGCCTAGCTTTGATCGAATTATGGAATTATCACCGGATGATCAATATTTCTTCGCTTGGGCGTTTAGCCATAAACCCATGTTTGGCTGTTTAATGAAGCCTGTGGTACTCAGAAACGATGGTAACTGGCTGTGATCCTTAAAGCATGGAGATCACGTTAACGGGCCTACGGCTAGTAATATCATCTCATGATCGCGTTTTGAAGCTGAGAGTAGAGGGTTCTGTTTTCCATATAGAGTGCCAAGCCTAATAGTTC